CCTGATGATTTCTTAGAAAACTGCTCGAGTTTCTTTGGTAATCAGTAGATTTTTAGCTCGCGTATGTGCTTTGATGCCATTAACACCTTCCATTAGTGTAACATTATTGTAAATGCTATTACATACGTAGTACTTCTCATTATGTACTTGTGTCTTCTATTTTCTCCTTTATCTAATTTATGATGTTGTTGTCAAATATAAATGGTTTATGTTTTGATTCATTGTCTTGCTTATATGATTCGTCGTACTTGTCCACAATTTGTAGTCTCAAGGTCTACAATGAAGCGAAGATTGAATGCTTTGAAACTCAAGTGGCAATCAAGCAGAAAAGGGAAGCAGCATCAGAATGTAAAGAAGAGGAAACAGAATAATAAAGAACCAGTTGGAAATGATTCATCGCAGCAGAACTTGGCGAATAATCCTGCTAATTCAGCATCTCACACGGAAACTGTAGGGGAGTGTATAATGGGAGCAGACCAGCTTACTTTGCCAAATCATGTATCATCCACCCCCGACACTGTTAGCAACTTGACCTTGGACACAATGGAAACCCTCAGAGAGAACTTAATGGAAACTCTAGGCGATATAGATCATTTTCAATGCGCCCACGAGCATTTGGATGGTGCAAATGAGTGTACATAGTCAGATGCTTTGCAACAAAATGAAAATAACTCAAGCAACTTTACAGTGAAGGCCACTTATAAAGATGATGTAGTTAGATTTGATTTCTCATTGAGTTACAGTATTGACCAGCTCAAGGAAGAGTTGGCCAACCAGCTAGAACTCGAGGTTAACACATTCAAAATAAAGTATCAAGATGAAGAGAAACATCCGGTACTAGTGACCCGCATCTCTAACTTAGAGCATGCCTTAAATCTTTCAAGATCATCTAATGATAGCAGTGTTGTTAGATTGTTCTGAAAACATGATATCTTTATTATATTAGAACATTTGTAAACAACAATGAAAAAAGTGTGTGTGTGTGTGTGCGCATGCTCGAACATGAGAAAGAAGGATAGGTTTTATGGTACCATGACAACATCTCTAGCAGCCAGTGCAAGAATATCAGCACATGAAACAGTTCAGGGCAGAACAATTCTAGCTCTCTTTTAGCCGTCTCTATTACTTCAAATCCTCCTAGAGATTTATTTGCAGGATCTGCTTTCTCAGTTCCATCCCCTTCTACTAGCACTGATGCATCACAATCCTGCAAGAACATAGCTATAATATAGCATTTAATTATCTAGCATCTATTAAATGGCTCTTCTTAGGAAGCTGCCGCCACTTTAGTATAATGTACAGATAGATGGATAGAGGGATGGATAGATACAAGAGACGGAAACTCACGTTGACGGAGCAGTCATGGAAGAGCAAGCGTAAAAGTTTCCCCGGGACAGTCGGATCAGTAGAAGCAGCTCATCTTACAGCATCCCGGACTACAAACTCGACACCCGGGCACGACAATGCATATAATTCAAAGGAGAATCAATGAATATAACAAGGAAACAATCCTAAAACAAGGATTAAAACCAAGAATGTTGGTTTTTGAAGACAATTAGCTTCAACAGGTACATTAATCATTTTGTATACCATTCCCAAGTCAATGTAGCATAAATTATAAACTCTTACTCTCGTTATATATATAATTTTTGTATGTTAGAACTGGATGCAATGTAACATGCAGCTTGTTTTATGTATTTATAGAAGGTGAGAAAGAAAGTTCAAAGAAAGCTTATTTATTGATTTAAAGTTGCATTTATTATGTTTTTGGAGTTGATAGGTAGGAAGCTGAAGAAAGAGGGCTGTAAATTTTAATGGAGACACTGACAATTTAGAGGGCTGATGAATAAAACAGAGCTGGCAGAGGGAATTAATGGTGGGTTTTCATACCAATGCTTTTACAGGTTGTGTAAGTAGTGAGTTACTACTGTGATGTCCAACTACCCTAACCAAATTACTGGTATGTATACATGTTTATTATGATAGGTAGAATTTGCATGATTTTTGGGTTACTTGATGTTGAAAGTTCATGGTTTTTGTTTGGTTTAAGTTTTTGCTGCTTTCATCTTCTGGATCAGGGTATTATAGTCTTAAATCATCTAATCTTTACTAAGAGCATATATATTGGTGAGGATGGTTTTGTCCTCTCAAACATTCTCTCTCCTTACCCTATTTTGACACCTCATACTCTCTTTCATCCACCTTATTTCCCACTATCTCTTTCCTCTCTTCCATCCTCTTCCATTTATTTTTCCCACATCAAAGGGTATCCTCTTGATATATTTTATACTATAAATATGGCCCCACCTTCAAATTTTTTCTTTGTAAAAGATTATTTTTTATTGATTTCTATAATGATAAGGTCTAATAATGATAATAATAATAATTAGGATTCGATAATTAGCATACATAATAAAAATTACCTTACCTATATATTTTTGATACAGTAACACATCAAATTAGGAATAAAAACACTAATTTGATACACTAAAGTACAACAAATACAAGAAATTAAAGACAAATAACTAATTATCCTCTTTTTTCCTTACCGATTACTAGTATGCTCAAATCTTGCCCATAAATATTCTGCCAAATTCATATTTCTTCCATAACTATGATTATTTTCATCCATTACAAAAGAAAATTATAAAAAGAGAGGAAAGAGAGGAAGGAGTGAAAAAGATGCAAAATTGAAGTGTATAAAAGATGGCCAAAATTAGGTTCATTTTATAGAGAAAATAAAAATACAACCGTTGGTAAAATTAGTTTTTAAAAATATGTTACCGTTTGTGATTAATTACCGTTATAATTTTTTTGAGTTTATAAAATTATGTAACAAATAAACAAATAAAAGTTGACACTTCATCCTCTTGGCACAAAGGACAAGGTAATCCTTCTCCTTGAGGATCCTCTACATTACCCAACATCAAAGAGGACTACTCCAAATCAGCAAAAAAACCCACACAAGAGGACATATATCCTCTCCAATAATCTTGCTCTAAAGAGACAGTTATACTATGGATTTGCTGAAAATTGTGCCGGAATAATATTGACTCATTGACTTACATTTATTATTTGTAGGATAGTGAATATAATGATATAACTCCGTTTCTTTGAGCTGTTTTTGTTTGGAATGTTGTAATGAAGAGGGAAACTAAATACGTGTGAGATATTCTTAAATTAGTTTCGACGTGTGATTCAAAATTTATAGATGTTTAGATATTTGTAGCCTAGTGGCGGAATTGGCCTTGTGCCTGGTGGGTCAAATGAGTCACCAAGGCCCAAAAAAAATTCTAATTTTTTTCTTAAAAAAAAAAAAATATTCGAAGATTTACACTCCGAGCTAGACGAATTATTGATACACTCCATTGCTTAAGGTAATTTCTGTTTTCTAGCAAATGTCTGTAATTTGATTGAATATTTACTATGGCTTATCACTTGATTGTGAAATTCTAGTATTTGATGATGATAATAACGATGATGTTTAGGAACAAAGTTCAGTCTTTTCTTGAAAAGTTTGCCTCTCACTTCAATTCATCATCCTCTTGTTTCTTTTTCTCCTTTACCCATCTTTTCTTCTCAACCCAACATCAATTTTGTTCATCAGGTCTTCTATTTGTCTTCAATTTAACTTTTTGATTGTTAATTTTGATCTGGGTACTTGTAATTTGTTCCTAATTGAATTGCGTATGTGTAAAATTTCATGATTTAATTTTTTAATGTTATTTTTAATGTTTATTTGGTTGTAGAACGAAGAAAGCTAAGATTGCAGGTGAGAAATTGTGTTCCTGCCCTGCTCCTGCTCTTCCTCTTCGCTTCATCTTCACCAAATCACCAGACGGCCAGATCAGCAGACCTCCGCCACTGCTTCCAGTGCTGGTCACCTCCTCCTGCTCTTCCTCTTCTTCATCTTCGCTCACTGCTGCTGCTGCACACAGGCGGCTCGCCGGCTCCACTGCCTCCACACATTGATGGTGTTGTTGCTCTTGATTGGGTATTTGGGTTGTCGGTGATCATCGAAAGCTTCCTCCTCTCTCTCCTATTCTCATTTTGCTAGTAAGTTGATTTCTAATTTTTAGTTTAAAATTCTAATCTTCAATTTAATTCAGTCTAATTAGTTAATTCTATTAAATTATTTGATATAAGTTTAAGGGAAATTGGAGGTTGTCGAGACACAGTGATTGGATTCTTCTCTCTATTTCGTTGATTTTGTTAGTTTTTTGGTAAAAGTTTGAAACTTTAGTTGATTTTGTTGTTGTTTGTTTGTAAACTTTGAACCTTTTGTTAATGTTGTTGGGTTTTTGTCTTTTTGATGAAATTTGAACCTTTTTGACCATGTGATTATGTGAATTGTGGTCAGTGTTTATTTAGGGTGTTTATTAGCTTGTCAATTTTAGTCTTGTCAATTTTAAGCTTGTTAATTATTAGTTAGTATTGTAATCTTGTCAATTTTCTATTTGGATGATCTTGGTAAGAAATTTTTTTTTTACATATTTGGTTATCGATTGTGACTCACCAGTCGGAAGTTCCTGGGTCCGGAAGTTCCTGGGTCCGCCAAGGGTTGTCAATAGGGCGGGGTGGGGCGGATTTTAGTCTTCCCATCCTCATCTCAATCTAAAATTTTCATATCCCCATCCATCCCCATCCCCGCGACGGGTCTAAAATTCATCCCATCCCCGCCCCACTTGAATAATCACCCCCACCTAATCCCCACCTAAGACCTGCCTAATCCCCGCCTCCCAAATACACAATCCTTCATAATTAATAAAGATTGCAAAAAGAAAAAATTATTATTAATATTACACATTCTATTGTTTATAATATAAGTGTATTACAAAGTATTATATTTACTATTTTATTTTACATAATTTTTTTTATAAAATAGTATAAAAGTATATAATTTTGTTTTTAAAAATATATGGATGTGGGGATGGGGCGGGTACGAAGTGGGGTGGGTGGAGATGGAGCGGGTACGAAGGGGTGGGTGGGGATGGAGCGGGTACGAAGTGGGACGGGTGGGGCGGATAAACCTAAAATCCACCCCGCCTCATCACCCATGGCGGGTATGGTTTTTATCTCCATCCCCGCCCCATCACCCGCCAAACCAAGATTCATCCCCGCCCCAACGCAGCTCTCTTATTTGACCCGCCCCAACGCGGGTCTCTTATTTGACCCGCCCCACTGACATCCCTAGATATGTGCTTTATAAGTGGGTAAAAGACACTTGTAATTTGAAAAAACAAAAAAAAAAAAAAAAAAAAAAGGTAGAGAAACAGAGTGTAATTGGATAGAGTTGACATATTTTGACTCATATAGTATAAGCTACTCCGTATAAAATTAAATGCTTGTTGTTACTTTATTTTTCTTAAATAAATAAATAAATATCTGGACTAATAGATTTAGAATACTTTTTTTTATTTTTAACTAGTAGATATACAAACCAACAGAGTTGTTTTTTTTTTTTTTTAAGGAACATACCAACATAGTATGACTATGGGCCGTTACTGTTAACTTAGTGAAGTATAACTTGAGGTTCAGGTTCAATGCATAATAATTCATTGAGGCTCAGGTTCAAGGCATAATTACTTAAGTGGGGTCCAGAAAAGCTGTGATGCATTTATAAATCTATGTGGTCATTAGTTCTTCTTATTAACCACAACTAATTATTTGCGGTTGAGGTTCACGTTGAAGTTGATAGTTGTGATAATTTCTTGATGGAATCTTAAAGCTGCAACTACTGAGTAGTATTTATCTTCTCTCTTTGTTCCTTTATTTCCCAGTTTATATTTCTGTAGTTTGAAATTAAAATTAAAAGAGGTGGTTTTTGGTGTTCTTGTTGAAGCTAAGGAAATGATAACTTGCGGAGAAGTAGATTCTAAAGGTCACTTGGAATTGAGGGAGGATCCAGAGGCATGGATTAAAAATAACCCTCCTTCTCGTCTAGCCTTGCGTTGTTATGAAAAGGAAGAGGTAGGAGAATCAATAGGTGAGCTCACACAGCTCATCCGCCTGGAATTCTTGTACTGTGATTCCCTGAAATGTGTGTCTAACACCATCACTAGGCTTCACAAATTGGAGCACTTGCAATTTTATAAGTGTTATTGTTTGGAAGAATTGCCGGCAAATATAGGGCAGTTGGTGAGCCTTACTCATCTCAAGCTTGATTATTGCGAGAACATAAAGTTCCTTCCTGATAGCATTGTAAATCTATCCAATTTGACTTATTTAACTCTCTCTTCCTGTGATTCCCTTGTTGAATTGCCGGCAAATATAGGGCAGTTGGTGAGCCTTACCCATCTCAAACTTAAATATTGCAAGAACATAAAGTCACTTCCTTTGAGCATTGCAAATCTATCCAATTTGACATCTTTATCTCTCTTTTCCTGTGAGTCCCTGGTTGAATTGCCGGCAAATTTGGATGGGTTGGCCCATTTATGTCTTCTTGATATTCAATCATCCAAAATCAAGTGTCTTCCTTGGAGCATCACGAAGCTACGCAAACTCCGACATCTAATGTTGCCCGAACATTTCAGACTCGAAACGTTGCCATATGACTTGAATCATTCGGTCATCATTTCTGTTAAAGATAGGCATGTTCGCAAATCCTGGGAGGAACTTAAAACAGAGATAGGAGAATTGCCCATTCCTTTTGGTGGAGGTAAGTTTACATTGCCAATGCTTTTACTTTTACAGTTTTACTCCAAATTTGTTTGTTCTAGTTGACGTGGTAGTTATACTATGTAATAATCAAGCTTATCTCTTCTCTCCCCCTCCTACAATGGCAGAAATAAGAAATGATGCAGCTCAAAATCCCTATCATATCTCCTCCTGGTTATCTCCGATTGAAGGAGGATGATCCTTCGCAATGGATTATTAATAACAGAAATTTACTCATGTTGGTTCGATTTTTGGACTTGGAAAATGTTAAGGAGTTAACAGATTCCATAATGCAATTCAGTGAGCTCACCCACCTCTATCTCTACTTCACTGATCATATTTGCCTCCCGGATAACTACTTTGTCACATTCACAAGGCTTACACATCTCTCTCTCGACTCTTCTGATGTTGAAATTGATGAGTCCGTTATTCACAGCTTAAGCAAGCTATCCAATTTACAAACACTACATCTGCGATTATCCATTTATGATAGCTTGGAAAAATTTTAATATGCCTGTCAGCCTCAAACATCTCTCTTTATCATCTTGCAATATGAGGCCACTTTATGATAGCTTGGAAAAGTTAACTAACTTAAGGAGTCTGGATCTCAATTCCTGTGATTATTGCGAGTCATTGCCACCATGTATGTATATTCACAAACTCAGGCTTGTGGATTGCTCCTTCGAGTCACTTGACTCACTTCCTATTGGCCTACATCACCTGGAAATTTTGTTTTTCAAAGATTATAATGACCTGAGATGTATCTTTGAAAAATGTTGGAATAAATTAGTCAACCTGGAGACACTCTCCATTACATGTTCTAAAATGGAGTTCTTTCCTGAAGATATAGCAAGACTCCACAACTTGCAAGAATTACAACTCAAAGACTGTATCAGCCTCGAAAAACTACCATCAAATCTACATGAGTTAGTCAATTTGCATACTCTTGATATCAGCGTCACCAGAATCAAGACCCTTCCTCCTAGTTTTGTGAAGCTGCGCAATCTACTACACTTAATCCTCCCCAAGTGTTTTAACTTTGAAAGATTGCCAAGGAATCTGAAGCAAGTGTCCATCATCGATGACACAGAAGAAGCATACTACAAGAGCAACGCCTATGATGCTTCCCTTTACCAAGCCTCAGCCTCCGATGAAAGCGAAGATGAAGTAACTGTTGTTCCTAGAGGTAATTAAATGTTGCCAGTAATTCATATGTCATAACTTGCATTTTTTTTATCATCATTGATGACACGGATGATGCATACTTCACACATATGAATAACTCTCGTATCAAAATGCCAACAGTAGAAATTCATGAAACTGTCCCTGATGAGCAGACATCAGCAGATCCTTTCAACAGTATAAGTATGGGCTCTATTGAGCACATAACAACAGCACAAGGTGGTATTGAGCAAGATAATGGTGAGAACAGTCATCATGATTTAGAAAATGGGCAGAAACAGGTCCCTCAACACAATAAGGTGGAGAGAAATAGTAGAATTGAAATATCTGAAGAGAAGCTACAACAATGTTGGTCCGAAAACCCGATGTCACTACAAGAAACTGCAGAAAAAATATTTGGAGGTATCATGATCGCATTTTGTTTGTATTAGAATTGTTAATTATCTGAGACCTGCATTTACATACTCTTGCCAAAATCTGTTTATTCATTGAAGTTTTAATTTCTATTGATGCCACTGATATTTCAAAAGGAATAATAATGCTGTATTCAATGCAAAACTTCAATTGAGAACTTTTTCCTAGAGCAAAACTATTAAAACATTGAGTAATGTTGTGCCATGTGCGGAGTAACATAAATTTACATCATGGACACTACACAATTTTTTTTTTTTTGGTTGATAAAATGGAAACTAAGCAAATTTAGATGTTCATGTGAAATTTTGATCCCTGCCTTTTAATAATTTCAAGCAAACTCTTATTTACAATGTGCGAACCTCTAATTATATATGTTTGCTTACTTAATTGTCTTCATTGATGTTAATTGTCTCTTTGAACTTTTATAAATAGTGTGGTCACATTTATACTCGTGAAAATATTTGTTTACCTATATTCCCTAATTAATGTTAATGGTCCATAACTAAATTTGTGGTTATGACTTTATAAGGATGGTTTTTGAAAATTAATTTATCATTAAGACTGAGATAGACATCCTGTCATCCCGATGATTTCCATAAAAAAATTAACTGCTTGAGCTTCTTTATCATACTTGACTTCAATTTGCAGTATCATACTTGGCTTTTCTAAATGATTAATCATACTTGACTTCAATTTGCAGTATCGAGGTCTACATTGAAACGAACAATAAAAGAATTGGGTGTCGAGAAGTGGCCAAGAAAAGGAAGAAAACAACAGCCTGATGCAAAGAAGAGGAAAACAAACAATACAGCACCATTTGAAAGTTATTGCTCACAACAGAATGTGGTGAACCTAGGTAGTTCAGCAGCTCACACGGAAAATGTGCAGTGTATAATGGGATCAGACCTGCATTTGGAAGAGCCCTTAATTGAAAGCCATATGGATATCCAGCAACAAGTCCAAGGGCATCTGGAAGGCGCTCTTCATACAACTGAAAGTTCAGGCACAATTGTTGTAAAAGCCACTTACAAGGAGCTTTCAGTGAGAATTGTTTTCTCTTTGACTTTACCGATTAATCAACTAATTGAAGAAATAGGCATGAAGTTCCAACTTGAGTTGAACAAATATAGATTGCTTTATCAAGATGAAGATAAAGAGTGGATGATGCTGACTAGTGTGGAAGATTTGAAGTATGCTTCGAATGTTGCTGAATCATTGGGAACCAAGTTTGTTAGATTGTCTGTTATTGACTATGTTGTTTAATAATGTGCTTCCATTTATTTGAGTGATTTAAGTGTAACACTCCAAAGTTGACCTAAGTATTGTAGAGATGTTTGTCTGTTATGAACAAAAAATTGTCGTGATGTAACTCAATAACTTTACTGCTCTACTGAATAATACCAGTACATGAATATTTTTATTTTTTGTGATGGAACAAGAACTTTGTGATAAATTTTTAGATGTTCATTATGTGAAATTTTGATCCCTGCCTTTTAAAAATTTCAAGCAAACTCTTATTAACATGTGCGAACCTCTAATTATATATGTTTGCTTACTTAATTGTCTTCATTGATGTTAATTGTCTCTTTGAACTTTTATAAATAGTGTGGTCATTTTATACTCGTGAAAATATTTGTTTACCTATATTCCCTAATTAATGTTAATGG